AACATCTTAGAAGAAAACATAGGCGAAAAGCTTTATAACCTTAGATTTGGCAATATATTTTTGGATATGATACCAAAACACTGGCAACAAAAGTTAAAATAGGTAAATTGAACCATATAACTTTAAAAAAATGTGCATCAAAGGACACAACAGAGTAAAAAGGCAGAATGAGAAAATATTTTCATGTCATATATATAATAAGGGGTGAATATCTAGAGAGAACTACAATTCAACAACAACAACAAAACAACCCAATTTTTAAAATGGGCAAAACACTTAGACATTTCTGCAAAGATACACAAATGGACAACAGATAGGTAAAAAGATACTCAGCATCACCAATTATTAGAGTAATGAAAATCAAAACCACTGGCAGAAACAGCATCATACCTTTAGGATGGCTACTATAAAAAAGGAAGTAACAAATGTTGACGATGTAGGGAAATTAGAACCTTTGTGTACCATTGGTGGTAATGAAAAGTGGTTCAGCTGTTATGAAAAACCAGTGTGTTGGTCTAAAAAATTAAAAAATGTAATTACCAAGGAATCCAGCAGTTTCACTTCTGGGTATATACCTGTTATGATCTGATGTGTCCCCACAAAATTCTGATGTTGAAGTGTTAGCCCTAATACCTCAGAATGTGATTGTATTTGGAGATAGGGACTTTAAAGAGGTAATTAAGTTAAAATGAGGTCATTAGGTTGAGCCCTAATCCAATATGACTGGTGTCCTTTTAACAAGATGAAATTAGGACAAAGATCTACATAGAGGGAAGACTATATGAAGACACGGGAAGATAGGTATCTATGAACCAAGTAAAGAGGCCTCAGAAGACACCAATTCTGCCATTACCTTAATCTTGGACTTCTAGCCTCCAGAATTGTGGGAAATTTCTGTTGGTTAACCCACCCAGTTTGGGGTCTTTGTCATGGAAGCCCTAGAAGACTAATACAATACCCCAAAGAATTGAAAACAGGCTTTCTAATAAATACGTGTACACCAATGTTCACACCAGCATTATTCACAATAACCTCACAATAAATATCAACAAAGTGTCCATCGACAAATGATTGGATAAACAAAATATGGTATATACATGCAATGGAATATTACTCAGCCTTAAAAAGGAAGGAGATTCTACCACATGCTACAACATGGATTAACCTAGAGGACATTATGCTAAGCGAAATGAACCCATCACAAAAAGACAAATACTGTATTATTTCACATATATGAGGTACCTAGAGTAGTCACATTCATAGAGACAGAAAGTAGAATTGTGGCTGCCAGGGGCTGAGGGGAGGGAAAAATGGGGAGTTGTTATTTAACGGGTATATACAACAATGTGAATATACTTATCACTACTGAAAGGTACACTTAAAATTGGTTAAGATGGCAAAATGCGTGTTACGTGTATTTTTCCACAATTTAAAAAATATGTTTAAAACAGAAGGAATAAGTTCATTTAAGATTGGTGGAAAAGTCATTGCAATTGTCACCATAAAAGTAATGGCAAAATCCACAATTATTTTTCTACCAACCTAATAGTAGATGATAGTAAAATGGAGAAATTATAGTTAACAATGATTTATTATATATTTCAAAAAATAGCTGGAAGAGAAAGAATTGTAATGTTCCCAACACAAAGAAAAATGTTTGAGGTGATAGATATCCCAAATGTCCTGATTTGATCATTACACATTGTAAACATGTATAAACATAGCACATGTACTTTCAAAATGTACACAACCATGATATAACAATAAGAAATACCAAAAATCAAAATCAAAGTAAATGAAAAACAAGTTTCTGTAATGTGATGGTCCTGTAGTTGTTAGTGGCTGCATGTTTTTAAAATCAATATGAGCATTAATTTGGCTGTAGTATTAATTATCAAAATTGGAGTTGCTAGTTGATATCCAGCTAAATTTGAATTTCAGATAAACAATGAATAAATGTTAGTACCAGTGTGTGTCAAATGTTATATGGCATATAATTATACTAAGATAAAATTTGTTTATCCAAAATTTACATTTGACTGAGTATCCTGTGTTTTTGTTTGTTAAATGTGGCAAACTTAACAAAAAGAAATATATAGTTTATGTATTACATTTTTCATGATACTTTACCAGAGAAAAGCTCATGTTATTCAATGTAAAAGAGATATAGTATCTTATATTTGAGTATTTGGAATTATAAAGGGAGGAATATCTGGAATGTCAGATTTCCCAGTGCCAGCGACATTGGAATGCCATAGGTGATCCTGGTAAAAAGATACCGTCCACAGATACTCTTTCTAGTTTTAACTCTAGTCTCTTATTTACTCTCCTTTGTTCCTTCAAATGTTTCTATATTTAAACCTCTCCTACCTCTTTTTCAAATACGATTTTTTGGTAGGGGTAATATTTTAAAAGCATTTCTTCGGATGTAAGGTAATTGTTTACATACACAAACAGACATTCACAAATACACACACATACCTTTATTTCTGGGATAAAATAAATCTATTAAATGTTGAGTCAAATTTTTGAAAAGTGTATTTTAATTGACAGCTAATCATTGTCACCTTAAATTAGTCAATCAAAATAGTCAAATACCAAAAAGGTGACAGTGGAAAGCACATGTAACTTATAATCAGAAAGTTTTTGCTATTTTATTGGACTGGTGATCATGGGCAAGTCTTATAGCCTCTTTGGTAACATTGGCATCATTATCATAATACCTACTACTCAAGATTATTGTGAAAATTGTCAACTTGTTTCATATACAAAAATATGTAGAAAGCTATTAGTTTATGACGGCTTTGGCAGGTGTAAATGAGAATGGGATTGATTAGAGTCTGAAGTGCTGCCATTGGGGGAGCGAAGAAGTAGAGTTAGAGTACTCAGGAAGTGAAAAAGAAACAGACAAAAATAATAGAAAAGAGGCAGACACAGCGGCTTATGCCTGTAAACCCAGCACTTTGGGAGGCTGAGCCAGGAGGATTGCTTGAGCCCTGGAGTTTGGGATTTTAGTCAGCTATAATCACACCACCACACTCCAGACCAGGTGAGAGAGTGACACTCAGTTTCAAGAAAAAAAAAAGTTGAAAACTATTAAAGTAACAAGACAAATTACAAACTTTCTATGTATTTCTGGGTCTTTCTCAATTTGGATATGAGAAATTAACAGAGAAACAATCAGCTGTTTGGAGTAGAGAAATTAGAAAAAAGAAGGCAGCAGTTAGAGTATAAGAGAGATTTTGGATTATTTCCATTATCTAATTTTACAGATTAGTATTAATACATAGAATATACTCTGAAACAGAAAAGAGAAGAATAAAATACTATATATTGAACAACTGGGAGCCAATTATTTCATTAAAATTTTCACATCCACACACTCAGTACTCAAGAAGATATGCCAATTGTTTTCTCTTTACTTATGAATCCCATCTTCATGCTAACCAATTTGCATTAGTACATTAGGAGATGGGCAATTTTAAATGAACAGATAATTTTTTTTAAGTTTTAAAATTTTCCAACAATGTGTTTTTGGATCCTATATTATATTGAGCACTTCATCAAAATAATGTTAATACAATAACTTTAGTAGATGTATTCAATGAGAAAGGGGTGACCTATTTAATAAGCAGTGTATCTACCTGGAAGCAACTAAAAATGGATACCCATATTACACTATTTATAAAAGTTAATACCAGTTGAGTTAAATAATTGATTATTTTCTTGCAACACTGCCAAAAAATCTTGGTACCTAATGTGTAATACCAGAAACCTAGAGTGTTTAAAACTCAGAGGTAGCTAAATAAAATTTAAACCATTTTTAGAGCAAAAAAATGAGCAAAAATAATAAACACGTGGTGTATCTGGAAAAAATGACAATGAAAATAACAGGCAATGTGTTCATTTTAGTAGTACACAAAAAGTTCTTACAAACTGACAGGAATATGACAAAATATGCAGTATGAAAATGGACAAAAGCTATACATACTCAATGTACAAAAAGCCAACTTAAATACCTAACACTTCAAAAAGGAAAATTCACTAGTTACTAGGAAAATAGAAATGAATATAACAATGATTTAATCTGAAAAACTATATAATGTTCTAAAACCTAATGCTAGTGTGGTTATGAAGTAAAAGGATAGTCTCTTAGATGGCTGGTTGAACTGTAAAGCAATTTAACCTTGTTTAGCCTCTGTTCCAGAGGGCTCAGTGAATTAATCTTTAAAATGAGAATCTGGCAATATCTTTCCTGGAAAGCAACATTTTTTAAAAAAAAAAACAATTCCTTTTTGTAGAAAGCTATTCTGTAGAAGCAAATGTACCAATTTGTAAGTCTGTATATAAAGATACCTATTGCGTAATAGTTTGGATTAATAAAAACATAAAACAAGTCTATATATGTAAGGTTGCGTATGTGCATGCATAATATGTGTATATATATGCACATATTATATATGTATATGTAAAGAGAGAAAGCTTATAAAATAAAATATGGAGAAAAATACATATGGACAAAGCTAAGTTGTGATGATTGGGATATTTGAGGGCATGGGGATCAGGATGGGCTACTGTAATCAGGAAGAAGAAAGGCAATAAATCAGTATTTAGAAAATTCCTATGCATGATGTAAAAACTCACTAAAAATTCAATTAGTGAAACCACATTATGATTTGTTCTTTTAAAATGCACCTACATGTAGAGGCAATAACCTTTTTTTAGAAAGCTTATTGAAAATAAGTGTAACAATACTGAATAAAATAAAGTTTTGGAGATTAAATTGGTCATACCATCTCTAATAGAGTCTTTACATTATTTAAAATAGGACAAAAGCCGGGAGACTGTTTCAGTCCAAATATTATCTAATTGATAGGGAATGATCTAGGAATCTGTTTATTTAATCTAGGCTTTTGTAAGTCTTAAAGGCAAATTAGAACTATTGAGTAAAATTGCTTTCAAAGTTAAACTGCCTTTATTATTATTTTTTTTCTTGGTAGTTTGCTTGACTTCACTTAATCTGCTGGAAGCTGATCCTTTTCATGTCCATGTTTAAGGAAGTGTTGAAGGTCACATCACTCAAAGCCAACATCAGCAGGCATCCTACCAGGATAATCTCTGAAGAGGTCAGAGGTGAGAATGACACAGGGAAGAGGCAAATTTTACCAGTCCAGTTCAAGGAATTTCTCACTCTTTCTTATGGGGGAACTCTTTTCAATAGAAAAGGAAAGGGTGCCAGTAAAAAGACAATAGAATTCCTTCCATTTTATGTAGATTTATTTTGTTCATGAGAAAAAGGAATAAAACATTTGTTTTCTCAATGTTTTAAGGAAGGATATAATGTTTTGTTGAAGGTAGGCCATTTTTGTGGGTTTACTAGTGCTATGGACTAAATTGTGTCCCCTCTCCACGCTTCACATGTTCAAACCCTAACCCCCAATGTGATCGTACTGGTCCTGTAAGGATGTAATAAAGGCTAAATGAATTCATAAGGGTTGGACTCTAATCCAACAGGGCTGGTACCCTTAAAGAAGAGGAAGATATACAAGAACTTTCTTTAGGCAGTGTGAGGACACAGTAAGAAAGTGATCCATCTGCAGTCAAGGAAGAGAGTCCTCCCCAGAAACCAAACCCTGTTAGAATTTTGATCTTGAACTTGCTAGCCTTCAGAACTGTGAGAAAATGAATCTCTAATGTTTAACCCACTTAGTCTATGTTACTTTAGTATGGCAGCCTAGAGCCTACTAAGACAACTTGTAAAACAATGTGTCAACGTGCTTTCTGTTTCATTTGTATTGGCCTCCATTCTTTTGATATCTAACAAGAGTTATAAATGTTCATTTGAGTCAGCAGTTCCATCATTATTATTTCTAATTTAATAAGTGTATTTAATTTCAAATACATTTTGTTCAAAATCTCCTATGATTTTATATTGCGATTTATTTTTTATTTGTAATGAGTATTAGGAAAATAAGAATTTGGCATTTTCTACTGTTTCTACTTAAAAATCAGATTCATACCATTTATGTAATGTGGAATTTAAAATAAAATAATGATGTTTAAAGCTTTGTTGATGCAAAATTCATCCTTCATATATGTTTGAAGGTGGATAATTAAAGATTAATTTCTGGGATTCAGTATTTTAATCTTAGATGAATAAGGAGCTTTTTGAACATCAATTCCAAAATTTTAGTTTTACAAACAGAAACTTGGTCTCAAGGAAATTTAAATTACTTACCCTCGGTTATACTTTTGTTAGTGTTGATAAAGGGAAAATTTGTTGGCAGAGAGGTCGTGAAAGAATAATTAAGAATTGAAACAGAAACCACACTTACAAAGTGTACCCTGAATCATAGAGATAAATGGTATCAGAAAAAAAAATCATGATGTTTATCACAGACTTTTCTAAACTCCCATTATTTTAGCACCAGCAGTTTGTTTAGACTCATGTGGTTTTGATAAGACCACACACAAACTGATTAACAGTGGTTCCACATGGTCTCATAAATTTTAAAGATAAGAACCTCTGACAGTTCCAGCAATACACTGGTTTACACAATCTGACCAGTTTCTCCAGAATCATCCAATGACTCCAGCACCCAAAACTCTGTAAGCAACTTTTCTTCAGTTTTATCTTAATTCCTTTTGATGTATCCTATGATCTCCCATGCTGCGTTTTTTGTGATTTGTGTTTTGTTTTTGCTGTAAGAAGCAATAACTTACCTTTGTTGATCACAGATGTGTTCCTGGTAGTCTTTGAATGATGGGAACAGAGACTGTCCAAATCAAGAATTAGAAAATATGTAATTTTTGGATTATTTTCAAGAAAGACACCCTCCATTAACTCTTAGATTTTATCCTACCAAAGAAACTACCGTTTTTTTTTCAAATCTGATTTCTATCTTTCCATTTCAGCCTTTATTTATTTTTATTTTGAAGACTATTAATTATGTCACTTAATGGGGGAACATCTTCAAGGATGATTCTGAATTCTGAATTCTGCACCTATGGCAAAAACTGTAGATACAGTTGTCCCTTAGTATCCATGGAAGATTAGTCCCAGGACCTCCTGTGGATACCAAAATCTGCAGATCCTCAAGTCCCTAATATAAAATGGCACGTATTTATATGTAACCTAGGGATACCCTCCATATACGTTAGATTATCTCAAGATTATTTATAGTACCTAGTACAATGTAAATGCTATGTAAATGGTTGTTGTACCACATTGTTTAAGGCAGAATGATAAAAATAAATACTATATATGTCAATATAGAAGCATTTTTTTCAATATTTTTGGCTCAAGAACTGGTTGAATCCACAGACGCAGAACCCAGGTACAGACAGCAGACTGTAATCACAAAGCTCTAGAAAAATTATTCTGAATTCTTAATTTAAAATATAATATATTGTTTTGGGTAGATATGTATATTTAAAATAATAAATTATGTACCGAATATAATTATGACATATTTATGCACCTACATATATAAAATAATACACTAAATATTACACATTGTACATACACATGTTATAATTTGATAGGTCAATTTAAATAATTATTTTTATTTTTCTGTTTGTTTTTCATTATCTTCCATAGATAAGTGAAATTCACAAGCAATATAAATGTATGGTAATACAATCAGGTATTCCTTAACAATGGGGTACATTCTAAGAAATGTGTCGTTAGGTGATTTTATTATTTTGTGAACACCGTAGAGTGTACTTATACAAACCTAGATGTTATAGCCTACTGCACACCTAAGCTATGTGGTATATCCTATTACTCCCAGGCTACAAACCTGTACAGCATGTTACTGTTCCGAATAGCATAGACAATAATGCATTAGGACAACTGTGACAGCTATAATGGCTGTGACGTCACAAGGCAATAGGTATTTTTCAGCCCCATTATAATCTTCTAGAGTCACTGTTGTAAATGTGGTGCATGACTATATATATTTTTGTTTTATTTGAATGCATAGTATTTCCTAGGCTATTTATTGCACCAGTACACCCTCAAATGCTGCATTAGGAACAATTTGAATTATTTATTAAATGGTCATGCTAAGAGGGAGTGTGGAAGATCTACAAAATTTGCAGTGCTACTGTAACTACTGTCAACAACTAACCAAGTTATCCTCAAAAGACTCCAAACATGCATTTTCAAATTATCTTGGGATCACAAAATTTAGGAATATTTAAAGTAAAATATAGAATGATACAATAAAATACAGAATAATTCCATATGTGGGAGCATTAGATTTTTGTCAGAATTTAAATATCAAAAGCTGTAATAAAATATACTAGATTGTTCAAAGAAAATATACAACAGTATTAGCAGAAAAACTTTTGTTGTTTGAGTCTGAAAATAGTATTTAAATTTGGCCATTTCAGATACTTGCAGTATCATCATGGACAAATAACATAAAATCTATAAGATAATGTTTGTTCATCATGTTAATAGATGTCCTCTCTTCAGGATTATTGTAAGTTTCAACGTATATTCCAATTTTGTAAGCTATAATATACTAGGAATCTATGCTCATATTCAATTAAAATTAGAAATTCTAAAATCACAGTGGAAAGTAAGCAATATATTTCAAAACTTAAATATTTCATGACAGAAGTATCATTTTCATGAAAATAAATATTTTATATCATGTGTTAACTGTCATGTTCAATTAAATATTGGCTGCAAAGTTGTAGTGAAAAACACAGCTCTACCACACTGCAGCTACATGACCTTAGTGAAATCACTTATCCTTTCTGGACTTCAGGTTTCTCATTTGTAAGTTTGGGATAAAAAGAGAAACGTGGAAAAATTACGATAAAATGAGGCTTCTAGATATAAAGACTACATGGAAAAACTGTGCCTGAGCCTTTCCACCCTTTCTTCAATTCCCTGGTATGTCAACATTTCCCCATTCTCTTTCTCAGCCTCTTGTTTCCTCCTCATAAGTAGTCCCCCACCTTTCATGTCATGGCTAGAAAATAAAACAAAATAAAAAGCTATTTCCCAGGTCTCTAGGCCAATTCCCCTCAGTCTTCCAAAACAGTTCAGCCTGGACGTACTTATGTTTTTATATAAGAGGTTCTGTTCCACCTGATAAAGAATTATCTTCAGCCTTTTCTTCCTATGCAAACAAATTAAAGGTATAAAAACAGAGAACATAAAGAGATGGCTTAACTTTAAAAAATAAATTCTTCCCTAGATTTTTTTAATACATGCCATCTCACTAAATATTCTTGTTTATTATTTGGAAGATTATAAGGCACTGCAACTATATATTTTCACAATAAACTTGTTACCGTTTTCATTCAAATGAGACTTCCTTTCCTACTCAATGTAATATTGACTTTTAGAAGCCAACCAAGAGCAATAAATCAAGGTTAGTACACGTTATGTTGTCCCCTAGCCTGAGAGTCAAATGAATCTTCCGCATCATTGATGATATAATAAGTATCTTGTATTGCTGTGTTTTACTGAGAAATCAGATGCATTATTATCACACATGACAAAATATCTTTTGCTATACCTCAACATTCAGTATGAGCTTACAAATTATAGAATTATTTTTAAGAAGACTTTAACCTAGTATGAATTACTTTCCCATTTTCTTTTATAAATGTTGATAGGAAAGACTAACAAAAAATGTCTTAATAGCCTGCCAGTTGTAATAGGAACATATACTGAATTAAATACAAATTAAGAAGCATAAGCACTAAGTTGACATAACTAAAGACAGAGAATACTCAATTATGCAATGAATTCAGATTATGTAGGCAATATACGAAATTATGAGAGAGACATCCCAAAATATGTTTTCCCCTTTTGGCAGCAGAATTTTTAAGTTGTAAATTAATGAGATTGGATTTTATGCTTTCCCCTTCATATTGTCTTACTTTAAATCTCCATAAATCATATCTAAGTTTTTTCTAGCCAAAATGAATGAAATGACAAAAGCTTTTAATAATTCATAAAGCGGCAAAAGAAACAACCTAAAATTATATTCAGCAAGCAAAGCAGAAATTCTATGATTTCTTTTTTTGATTTATACTGCATTTTTATGGTAATTATAAAACAAAACATATGTCTAGTTCACATGGTTTATTTAACTTTAAGTTTTTTACAGAGACTCTGACTCTGACTTTGTGCAGACAGGTAGAACTAAAGTTCATATCTATATTGGGAAAAATCATATTATAGCCAATGTTTTGATTGGAATGAGTGCTTGAGTTTAAATAATAGTGGCTTATTTATATTCCATCACAAATGAATATTTCTTTGGGATTTATTTATTGCTTAGTCTTAAATGAAACTCCATAAATGTTGGTATAAGCATTACATTTTAATCTTAACAGGCTATGACATGTTTGGCTACAGACCTACAGGAAGGCAATCAAGATGTTCTATCAGTTTTAAAGAAAATTGCATGATTTTAGCTGTCACTTTCCTAATCCAAGTTTTTGTGTCAATGACTTCCTAGTTCTAACAGAATTAAGTCCTAAATCCTCAGCCTGCATTGAACTTTTTCTACTTTAAAGACTACTGTGGACTGAATCGTATCACACCTACCCTTTCCCAGAGTGCCCGAGAATTCGTATGTTGAAGCCCTTGCCCAACATGTGACTGTTTTGGGAGACAGAGCCTTAAAAGAGGTAATTAAGGTTAAATGAGGCTGTAAGGATTGGACCCTAATCCCTTAAGACTGGTGCTCTCAAAAGAAGAGGAAGAGACATGAGGAAGCTTTCTCTCAACACATGTGCACAGAGAAAGTCTTGGGAGGGCAGAGCAAGAAGGTACTGTCTGCAAGTCGAGGAGAAAGGCCTCATAGTTACCAAG